TAGACAATTATTGATTTAATTTTGTCAAGAGTATAGTTTTTATAACGACATTAATATAGAATTATGGTAAAACGCCATAACGTTTGATATATTATTGCGAGAAAATAGTGATTATTATCCTCTGAATATAGTAAAATGCAAAACAGAAAACTAAAATCATTAGAACCAGAAAGTATAAATTTAGTAGTCTTGGTTTGCTCATCAACAACCAAAGATAATCAAAAGATCAAAATTGGATGTGTGACATTTGTCCTTTCTTCTTGTTGGAAAAGATATCTCGCATCCTCGTTACATCATGACAAGAATGATTGAATAGAATCTGCGAACACTTGTATGAAGCAGTACCTCTTCGTGTACCTTAATTATCAAAGGAATATAGTTTCAATGTCTCAAACCCCAAAAATACATGTTAAATAACAAAACCAAAACAAAATACTTTCACTCATTTCAGTTCTTGCAAATCTGAATATACATATGGTAATGTCATCAATACATTGCCTCCACTCAGCGAAAAATTTATTGACATAAAACCACGGTAGTCGACACCGGAGACGCTCACAACTACAAACAACAGAAATTTCGAAGGTACCAATAGTTCTTGACTTCGAATTTAATAATGTGACAATGAAAATAATGTGACATCGACAATATTATGTTAACTTACAAAATCCTTCAATTTTTACAAGACATTGAAGTTTAAAGATTATGTTCATTTGGAAACTCCTTCCATTATCCTAAAGATATTGATGTCAAAACTCTTACGTTAATTTTGATATCATGCTCTTCCTCTCCAGACTATTTTAAATAATTGCCCACTCGTCAATGACTGGCTTCTTGGGAGCAAATTCAATCTGATGAGTGTTGTTTTTGTACTTTTGTAACAGAGTATGGGATCACCTCCTGCTCCTCTGTGAGATCTTTCGAGGTATGGAATTTGGTTTTCTCTAGGATTTATCCTCGACAAAGATTGTTTTGATTTTGGACTGAGATACTTCTTGGACCGACACTCTTCTACCCATGAGATACTTAAATAATTGTCAACTCGTCAAAGATTGGGTTCTTGGGAGCAAATTCAATTAAATGAGTGTTGTCTATGCACTTTTTCAGCGGAGTCTCGGGATCACCTCATGCTCCTCTGTGAGCTCTTCCTAGGTGTGGAATTTAGTTTTCGCTAGGCTTTATCCTCGACAAAGGTTGTTTTGCTCCTGGACTAAGCTACTTTCTTGGATCCGGCACTCTTTCTCTCTAGAGTCACTTAAATAATTGCCGACTCGTAAAAGACTGGCTTCTTGGGGACAAATTTAATCCGATGAGTGTTGTCTTTGTACTTTTGTAACGGAGTCCCGAGATCACCTCTTGCTCCTCTGTGAGCTCTTCCCAGGTGTGAAATTTAGTTTTCTATAGGTTTTTTCCTCGACAAAGGTTGTTTTGCTCTTGGCCTGAGCTACTTTCATGGACCGTCGAGAGTCACTTAAATAATTGCCCACTCATCAAAGACTGGCTTCTTGGGGCCAAGTGCTGTATTTTCACTTTTGCAACAGAGTCTCGGGATCACCTCGTGTTCTTCTGTGAGATTTTTCAAGGTGTGGAATTTGGTTTTCTCTAGGATTTATCCTCCACAAAGGTTGTTTTGCTCTTGGGTTGAGCTACTTTTTGGCACCTGACGCTCTTTTTCTGTTGAGACACTTAAATAAATCTCGCTCCAATCGTCCTCTTCAGTCGTTAAAGACTGGTTTCCTGGGGACAAATTCAATTCGAGGAGTGTTGTCTACGCACTTTTGCAACGGAGTCTCAGGATCACCTCATGCTCCTCTGTGAGCTCTTTCGAGGTGGGAAATTTGATTTTCTCTAGGCCTTATCCTTAACAAAGGTTGTTTTAATCTTAGGATGAGCTACTTTATTGGACCCAACGCTCTTCCTCTCCTTACACTTTTAAATAATTGCCGACTCGTAAAAGACTGGCTTCTAGGAGATAAATTCAATCCGATGAGTGTTGTCTTTGTACTTTTGCAACAGAGTCTCGAGATCACCTCTTGCTCCTCTGTGAGCTCTTCCCAGGTGTGTAATTTAGTTTTCTCTAGGCTTTGTCCTCGAGAAAGGTTGTTTTGCTCTTGGCTTGAGCTACTTTCTTGAACCGTCGAGAGTCACTTAAATAATTGTCCACTCATCAAAGACTGGCTTCTTGGGGGCAAGTGTTGTATTTGCACTTTTGCAACGGAGTCTCGGGATCACCTCGTGTTCCTCTGTGAGCTTTTTCAAGGTGTGGAATTTGGTTTTCTCTAGGATTTATCCTCCACAAAGGTTGTTTTGCTCTTGGGTTGAGCTACTTTCTGGCACTTGACGCTCTTCTTCTATTGAGACACTTAAATAAATCTCCAATCATCCTCTCCAGTCGTTAAAGACTGGTTTCCTAAGGAAAAATTCAATCCGATGAGTGTTGTCTATGCACTTTTGCTACGGAGTCTCAGGATCACATCCTGCTCCTCTATGAGCTTTTCTGAGGTGGGAAATTTGATTTTCTCTAGGCCTTATCCTCAACAAAGGTTGTTATACTCTTGGGCTGAGCTACTTTATTGGACCCAACGCTCTTCCTCTCCTTACACTTTTAAAGAATTGCCCACTCATCAAAGACTGACTTCTTGGGAACAAATTCAATCTGATGAGTGTTGTCTTTACACTTTTGCAACAGAGTCTCGGTATCACCTCATGCTCCTCTATGAGCTCTTCCCAGGTGTGGAATTTAGTTTTCTCTAGGCTTTGTTCTCGACAAAAGTTGTTTTGCTCTTAGGCTGAGTTACTTTCTTTGTCCTAACGCTCTTCCTCTCCAGAGTCACTTAAATAATTGCCCACTCGTCAAAGACTGGCTTCTTGAGGACAAATTCAATCTGATGAGTGTCGTCTTTGCATTTTTGTAACGAAGTCTCATGATCACCTTCTGCTCCTTTGTGAGCTCTTTCCAGGTGTGGAATTTAGTTTTCTCTAGGATTTTTCCAAAACAAAGGTTGTTTTGCTTTTGGATTGAGCTATTTTCTTGGACCTGACGCTCTTCCAGTCATGTGCCTTCTTTGCTTAGAAAAGTAGCATCTCAAGTGGTGGTTTATAAGTTCTGGCGACAGCGTAATAACATTCTCCATAACTCCTTGCGGCTTGCTGCTCAACTCATTTTCAAGATGGTGGAGTGGAGCTATGAAACATCATCACTTCGAGATGAACAAAGCTTATGCTTATTTGGATTCGTTATCTATTTCCAAATCTTTCTTTACTCTACTGTAGTCTTGTTTTTATCTCTTTTTTTGCCAAGGTTGCTTTTGTGTAATTATTTATCTTTTGTAAAGCCTCAAACTTCATTTTAGATCATATTTACATGTTTAGGAAAAAAATAATTCGGAAAAATGGAAACAAAAAAAATAGATAAGCTTAGTAACTAATAAAAATTTCTGTGATCCTTAGCACAAAACAACTCTGCATTCCTGCAACTTTCAGCACACATATTTTTAGCATCATTCGGGTGCCATTGCAAACAATAGTAGCCAAAACCATAAGAAACAATATCATAAAAACGTGATCGACTAATAAATATTCAGAAATTATATATACATGAAAAACAACAATATTCGAATACCTCGAGTGACTTCTATTCTAGTGAATGTCATGATAAATATGGTGATATTATCACATTGTTTACTTCGTTCTCTCAAAAATTTACAACAGTATCCACCATGTAGTCGACATTATAGACGTAAATTTATTATAAAATTAAGTTTTTAGCATACTACCCAAATTAAACTATAACAAATCTAATTTTGATTAAATTAATAACTTACAATTCATCTTCTAATTCCACATAAACTTGATCCCACACTTTATTATTGGTTTTCCGTCTTCAATATTGCTAACACTCACGACCCAACCAATTAAATATAATTATTTAAATTAATAGATCAAACCATAACAATGCAAAGAATAAAATATCCAAACAAAAGATATTATGGGACCAGGGAAATAAACATACTCAAAATTAAGTATCAATTTTCCTAAAAGATGCGAATGCGCAGTAATCAATCGCACCCAAGGAAGGTATATGTGAAACAAAGATTGATAAATTCCAATGAATTTTAAAATCATAAAAAGTATGACTAAGCAAACCGATAACATGAATCAAAATCTCTAAGTGTTATCCATCCAGGGCCTGCCCTGAGATTTGAAGGGCCAAATACTCAAAAAAAAGTTTTTGGTTATTTTGAAAGGTTTTAAAATTTAGGGCCAATTATAGTAAAATAAATAAAATTAGGTCTGTTTCATAAATAATTTTTGTTGAAGAATTTCAGAAACAAAATTTGGGTTACATCAAAAGTTTCTTGTTGATGTCTATAGGGCCGGCCATGTATCTATCGTCCTTGGAAAAACCTGAATCCACGATGACGATAATACTCTCTATCAATTATAGTATGTATGTCGTGACCCTAACAAACAAAATAAAATTGTTAAAGGTATAGCAATCTTTCAGCAAACAATTTATTTTATTAGAAAAACCAAAAATCTGTATAACCTCTGTATCAGTATAAGTTGGAACATATCGTCCAAGATCGAAGAACACTTAAACCTATTAAGTATCTATACTCAGATACTTTGATTTTACAAGGGAGCACTGAAGGGTGCAGATATGACACTCATGCTACGATAAAATCTTTCAAAGCATTTCTTGCTCATCTTCGGGGTTTTGTCCCATATTACGAGCCTAGCTAATCTAATCAAATATACATGATGAGAATATGTCTTTATCAAGTAAGTAGTGGATTGATTAGGGTTAAGTGGTATACCAAACCTCCTTAATTAAGACTCTTGGTCTCTTAGTCTCTGTTTCTATACCCTCTGTTTTACCTCTTTGTAAAAGAAGAATCTAGATTATTCCACTTCATGACGTATTAATTAAATTTTCCAACATACTATTTTTACATTTCACTGAATCGTTTGCTTCGCGGAACAGTTTCTTTCAAACATTGAGAAAAAAAATCATCATTATTTGATGTTCTAAAACTGAACAACAGAGCAGATGCAGGTATATCATGGATATTGAGGCTTAGAGTTGATACAAAGTTGTTTCTGAAAGATTTACCTTGCTTTGATTTTAGTCTTTTCTCTCTGTCACATTTCCCCTTAGCACTGTCTGTTTTCTAGAAGTAGCAGACACAGTCAAAGGTGTCTGCTTCCTTTGAGCGTCAGAGCATAATCATTTCCCTACAAACCATGCGATACAATAATTAGCATTTTTCATCTATAGTATCATGTCTGATAATCAATACCTTAATGGGATTGCTTTCAATACATGTAGGAGATATGTTTTTCCGCAATTTCTTGCTCCGTGGGCGATGACATTAGCATCTTTACCCTCAAAGACAGTAGAGATAAGAGGCTTTATCTCCTTTGATAGAATTAAACCTGTGATTCTGTTTTTTTTTGTAGCAATAGTCCAATTTATATGAATCTTTCGAACTGCCACAACACAATAGTTAATATGGCTTGAAACGTTGCTAATCCACAACACTGTGAAAGATTTAACTCAAAACTCAAAAGTATATTCTACTCGGTGAGAACATTTTTGTAAAATTAGAAAATCGATAAATTAAAGATAAAAGATCAATTGAAACATCACCTGAATCTTCTTCATGCATCGTGGTTGCTTTCATTCATCCAAAACATACAATCGTTTAAAAAAACAAACACTATTAGAATTTATAGTAACGAAAATAATATGTATAGCCAAAAAACAAGAAGATGAGCATACCAAGGCTCCTCGGAGGCAACGATTGGTGTCTGAAAATTTTAGCAGCGTTGTGCCTCTTGTTGGTTGGAATTGGAACACCAGCTGGTGTATAAGGATCACACATAACCTGCATGTATCAATAATCAATAATTTCATGGATCTGATATAGTTCCAATTGAATTTGGTACACTAATCAGATAAAACAAACCATGAATTTGGTACACCAGCCTTTATTGAAGTTTAATATAATAATTGATGATTAAGCGTTACATAGATGGATAAAGACGTGACAAAAAAAAAAGATAGATAAAAGCAAGCTTTACGTTTTTACACGCCTTGATTCAAGGCAAGACACCGAAACACCCCGTGAAACAAACCATGTTCATACCTAAATGAAAAATCCATAAAGAGATCATTATTTAAAAAAAGAGATAAAACTTCTGATCGCATCAATACAAAGAAATAATAATAATTGAGACTCCTGGTGAAAGATAATCAGAGAGAAGCAAGAGAAAAAGAAGAGTTCCCAACGATTATAGTCTATTGGGGTTGTTGAGAGGCCGTAATTTGCATCATGATGGAACCAGTAATCAAACTGATATCAAATTATGTAAATACAAAATCAAAGCTTCTTTTTTTTTTAGTGAAGAATATGGTAAATATAAAATCAAAGTTTCTTTTTTTTTTAGTGAAGAATATGAAATCTAAGCTGCTCGCAAAATATTATGGGAAAGCTTATAGAATTCTCAATACACCAAACATAATTTAAATATTAAACATGAAAGTACTAAAGTGAAAAACTCACCATATGTTCGATTGAATCAACAATTTAATTGTCCTGGAATTGTTTAACGACGTTGCATCCGTAACCTATAACAATACATAAACACCATGAATTCATATGTGTAAAGCCAAATAAAATAAAACGCAAAAAAAAAAAAAAAGCAAAAAAAATGGGGTTAGTTATGATTTGAAAGTGAAACCTACAGAAGGTATTTATATTAAACTGAAAGGCGGTGTACGATCTAATTTTTTTAATTTTTGAAGATAATTACAACAACAAGAAATGAAGATTTATATATTGTGTTAGATCAAATCTTTATCAAAACAATTAATATTCCTAAAAACAATTAATAACTACTATGGATATTAATTATAAAAAAATATTCCTTATTTTATTTGTTAAAAAATGGAACAATAACATAATTTTTTTTAGATTTACAATTATATTTGACATTTATTTAGATACACCATCATTATCGGTATAAAATATAAAAGAAAGTTTCTTTTATTTTATCAGATTTGTGAATTTAAAGAATATATGATAGTTGTTTTGATATTATCGGCAATATCTATATATTTTAGAAAAGTAAATTTTACTTTTAAAAACAATTGGCTTGTAATTATCACAACATAAATTTACCATTAATATATCAAAAATATAATTAAACGATTAATTATGAGACACATCCTTTGTTGAAAAAAAAAAGAACCAAAAAGGAAAAAAAAACACGGAAAAGGAAGAGAAAATAAGAAGACACGACCAATCCTTTCTCCGACGTAATTGTATGTGACTCACGACCATGATTAGATTGGTGGAGATTAATCATTGGATGTTCTTGGTCGAACGATAAACCGTCATAAAAAAGGTATGTAAACTACATTTGATCCAAATTTATTTATTTTTTCATTTTTTCGTGTTTAAGAATATTACTATTTTTTTAAATGTAAAATATATCGAATTTTTATATTTTAGGGTCAGTTAATTTTTTAATTTTAATTAATATTCGAATTAATTTAATAGAAGGTATTTAAGTAATTACGCAAAATCAAGGGCTCAACAAGAGCCGAGAGTCCGACACGTCAGCAAAAACACTTCTCAAATATTGTTATTATAGATTTCTCTATATTCCTCTCCTTCTTATTTTCTTGTGGTGGCCATAGAAACCTACAATTCAAATTCTCTCCAGGTAAATGCTTAAACTTTATTCATATCCATTTCTTTTTCTCTTTAACTCATACTAATTCTGATTTTATCAATTCAGTTGGAAGATGCCTCTGGATTATACTCATGTTTCACATCTAAATTCTTCAAAAAAGGAATGGAAGATCAAAGCTCTAATATCTAGACATGAGATTCTCTATTAACGTATGGCAAAAAGGTATGATTCTTCACTATGGAGGAACCAAAATTATAATCTAGATAGTTTAGAGTTTCATCAATCGCATGTCTTATCTTCTTTTTGCAATTTACAATTCTGTTTTTTTTTTGGATTTTCTCAATTATTGTTTAGTTTATTCATCATCGTTCAATCAATGGCATGTCTCATCAAATTCTCCATTTCAAAATCTTTCAATTTACAAATCATGTATTCAGAATTTTCAATTGTGGTTTACTTTGTCCATCATCGTTTCATCAATCACAAGTCTCATCAAATCATCTATTTTCAAAATCTTTAAATTTACAATTTCTGTTTTCGAATTTCTCAATTGTGGTTTAGTTTGTTTACTGTCGTTTCTAATGTTCATCAAATTCTCTATTTCACACTTTTTTCTTAGTCGTCATAACTATGAATTTATTTGGATTTGTAGGTTCATATTCTAAATTCCATTCTCCAGCTCAATAGGTACGAATGTTTTTTCAAATCAAAAGTAATCGTTTACAGAGATAGCAAATAAACATGTCAAACGAAGTGAGTGGGTCTCTTATTATATTTGCATTTTATTAATTTACGCTTTCACTAACTATGACATTACCATGGAGATGACTCTTCTTAAAGACCCTTCACCTCAACACAATGGCAATAGTATATGCATATCATTTGTTGCATCGTTGGAGCACAAAACATTTTTGAATAAGAGCAAAGATTAAGGTAAATTTGTCACTTTTTTCTTTCTCTGTTGATAAAGATTCAATGGAACCATGTATACTAAAATTGTATTGTCAATCAAAACCAAAGTATGAAACTCGATGCTCTTTAGAGTATTAACTACTCTTACAATTACTTAACAATATTTTATACTATCAATTTTGCAGGTTTGTTGCATCTCCATTTAAGTATGTTTCGTATTATATTTTTGTTTTTTCTATCAAGTAGCCATAATATTGCTTTATCGTTTCAAACTTCCAAATCTTTATTTCTTATGGTTTTTGGAATGCTAAATACATATTTCAATCATCACTGTGAAGAGTATATCTCCTTTTTACAATAATGTTATCACAATTTTATTTAACATTTATGCATTAAGCTTATTTCCCAAACTCTTTGGTTACTTCAACTCTATTATTTTTACCAAAGTTTGTCTGATTTGGCAGGATCTCTTGCTGTTTTTCAAACGATCATATATTCTCGAGCCTCTACTCGCAGCAAGTGGGTTCCCGTCAAGCCTCTAATCGCCAGCATCACACCAATTATTCAGACTTTGTATAATAGAAGCTAAATAAACAAAAGATTCGGCTGAGATTTCTCCAAATCATTTGATCTAACTTACTCTTCATTTTTTTCCATCACCGTTCAAAACAGTTTCCACTTTCGCGATTAAATCGTATTATTAAATGTTTAAACATCTAAACATTTTTATCTTTGTTAAATCGTATAAGCATAATCTTGATCTTAAAATACAGTAAACCTATATTACACAAATACATATAATACATTTTGGACCCGTACGTAGTACGGGGTTTAAGACTAATATGATATATATTCCATAAATGCATATACACTATCGCAAAAATGCTCTAAAAGCTGAAAATACAAAATGTTCTAAACTCAATTGCAGCCAATATATTGTTCTTGGGAAGGTATCAACCACTTTTCTCATGTCGCCAGGTTAGTAAATATATATATATATATATATGTGTCGTTGATAAAGCTATACTTCATGGGAATGTATTTTTATCAAAAATAGATAATGATATCATACCTTCACGAAGAACAATATATATTTATCAACTAGTTTTGATAAATAAAATCAAAAGCCAATTTTATAAATATACCTTCGCAAAGGTTTCAAATTTTTGCATAGTTTTTTTATATCAAAACTATATATTCATAAATATATACCTCGTGCTAACATATGACAAAGTACAACGTCTACTGCATTGGAATTTTTATTATTAGTCTATGTAGATAATCTAGCGCAACATTAGAAAACGAATGGTATCTAAATATTTGATGTAGATCTGATACCCTCTCGTTTTTAGGATTTATACTTCCCTACTTCTTTATAAGTTGAGATAATATCACTTTGGCATACTTTATCATCTTATCTTCCAGAATTCCCAATCTTCTTTGCTCACCAAGCTTCTTCTATATGTTCAGTTCCCCTTCTCCATTTTAGATCTTCTTTGATCTGAAACTAATGAGGGTTTGACATTATCGTTGCTCATTTTCTGGAAATTTAGAGATCAAACTTGAAAGATTTGAGAATAAAGAGGATTGATTTAGAGAGACTGTGAAGAAGGTTTGAAAAGTGGTGGAGAGATTGAGGAAGAAGAAGACTTGAGGTTTTTTTTCGACTAAACGCAAAACGTGGCTTCCTCCTTTATAAATTAAAACCTAACAACTGCCATTTTTTATTAGACGAGACTTTGAGATAGTGTATTAGTTAGTGGGTAGTTTGGTAATAAACCCTTATTATGTTTTCGGTCAAACGTCCGGAGAAAACTCCACAGCTAAGCGTGTTTGGGCTGTAGTAGTTTAAGGATGGGTGACCTTCCGAGAAGTGATTGTCGGAATTGTATGAGTGAGGACAAAACACAGAGAAAGATCATGTGGTGATTTGTAAGGTCGGTAAACAAGTCTTTAAAGCCTCCCGGACGTAGCGGACCGGCTGTCGGACAGGGGTAGGCCCATGGGCCCGAGAGAGGATGTGGGGCCCACTGGTAGGGACGGTCGGAGCGTTACAATATAAATAATAGTGTAATAGGAAATTAACGATGAATAAAGGATACTATAGATGTTGGAATTAAAACCATACCAACCACGACTTAAGCCTCTCTCCAAATCTAGTATTAGGCTGATAAAAATAAGTAGTTTGAGTATCTCATGCTAGATAGTGCGAGTGGTCAACTTGATTAAGAAAGAGATCACCGGTCACTTGATTTCTGTGAAAAATCAAAGTTGCAGTATTTCAGATGCGAATGAGATCGCCGGTTTAAGTGACGTTTGGGACGAAACTAATATTATATGCTATGGTTTCGGGTCTGGAGGGATTACGGGTTTTGGTCCAGAACTTTCTAGTATTCAAAAAAAAAAAAGTTTTTAAGATGCTTTTCCTAGGTTACAGTATACTTCTGGCTAAAACAAAGAAAGAGGTGGAAACTACAAAAATGCTATGATGAAGAACTACTTGACTCTCACAACGTTCTTTGACGGAGCCTACGATGAATTCCAAGCTATGAGCTCTCGTTCCATTGGTTCTCGAAAAAGGAAGAAATTCCATTCACTCATCTATTCATTAAATTTATGAAGCATTACTCTACCATGGAAAACAAAATATCATATTGAGATTTTGGGATTTTTTCTGAGGAATCTATCTATACGTTAAGAGCTTTCATGAAACGGTTCATGATTATTAACAAAGTAAATGTTAGATTTCCAAAAAAAATTCCAGTTTAAATATAAAAGGATCTTTCATTTTGTCAACAACTCACACACACTGACACACAATATACAGAACTTAAACAGAGGTGGTAGCAAAATCACAACATTAGTACAAACCACTAGGATATATATATGTCATGACTATAATCAACATATCATGTGGATTCATCATTTACTTTTCCATTTTAATTTTATTACTATTTCTAAAAATATTTATTGTTTTTTTGATGAATTTTTACTTACTAAACCATAGATACTCACATTTACATTAAGCATATTGATTATTTTTCATTCTGAAAATTGATTTAGGAAAATATGGATGGTTTAAAATGTAATACAAAAAATAACTGGACAGAAATTAAGGAGCGCAAATGATAACATCTTATTTTTATCTATATTAGCTATTGTTTTCTTATGTTTTAGGAAGCATTTGGTATGAGTTCAAGGTCAAAGAGACGATATTCAAGTATTTATGAAGTCAAGAAGGTTTTACAAGTTCTAAGGCCAAAAAGACCAAAAGGCAAGCAAAATGTGTTTTCGGACAGATTCAAAGCTCTAAAGGTTTTTCTTCCATTGGAGACCTTCCCGTGCACCAAACTGAGAGTTCTTAGACTCTATGGAAAGCTAGAAAAGTCAGTGACCATGGAAAACTGTAATTAGACTCATACGATCAACAGTCATTTTTAGTGCCCATTGGAGTGAAGCTTTGTCCGAAATAGGTCACAAGGATCGGAGTGTGACCGGTGGAGAGCTGCTAGTTGGGACCGGTCACAGCCCACGGGACCGGTGTGAAGTCTAATCTAGAGCCCGGTCATGGAGCATGTACCCGTTCTGAAGCCTTATCCCAGCAATTAAATGAAACTACGTAGTTTTACCCAAAATATCCTAAACCGACTACCGACTTCTTGAGACCTATAAATACTTGTTCTAAACCCTAAAAGAGGGTGTACTCTTCATGCGTCTTCCTTGTGCCTTTACCAAGAAGCCTAAAAGCGCAACAACCATCTCTCTCTTAGATCCAAGGCTTTAAGGACACCAAATCCCTACTTTTTAATCTTTGTTCTTAAAGATCTATAAGGTGAAGTCTTACCTCTTGTATTCGACGATAAAAGAAGTAATCTCTAAACCCTATTCAGTTATTATTCATCTTATTCTTATTATTTTATCAAACCTTACTTTGATGAGTTCCTTAATGATGCAGCGCATCTTTGCGACGATCACACCGTCGATGGTCTACGTTGTGATCGGGCCTCTTTATTGTTTCTCGTTTAGTATTTCATTCTTATGGGCTTTATTTACATATGAGCCTTTATTTATTAGCTTCTTAACTATGTTAGGGTTTTTGTTTTATGTCTTCTATTTAAGTAAGCCTCTAGACTGGATTGTAGGCAGCTTTTGATTATTGAATAAACTAGTTTTAAGAGAGCTTTGTGTAAAGCCTAGAGAGGAGAACTCTCAACCCTAAGAGCTTGTATTCAAGCCCTGCAAGGAGGACTTGCAAAATCCCGTCGATATCGTTCCCTGGAACCGATCTCGACCCTATCTCTATTGCTTCTTCGTCAAGTTTTGACTTTCTAAGCAAGATCCGTTCGTGAATCCGACTTCTCTTAGAGATCTTGTGTTCTCGTCCATTATTTAGCTTCCGCTCTCTATCACTTAACCATGCTAGAGTAGTTTTCTAGTTGGGTTTAAAGGGCTAGTCATAGGGGGGACATGATCGATCGTTTAGGTGGTGATATCTAGGGTTTTGTTTGATCGTTTACACTGCATCTTTCTAGTTAAGCTTTCTCTTAATGCATGTAGGTAGCCTCATGAACTAACTCTGATCACAAGTGTTTACACTCGAACTTAGCTTACGAATGTGTACCTTGTTATAACAAGCACACACTACTTAGTTATAGGGCTTTATGGACTAGAATCGAACTTGATCTTATTGCTTTGATATATGGATCATTGCCTGCGTGAGTTGAGTAACAGAGTATAAGGATTTTAGCTGACTAATTCTAAAACCTAGGGTTAGCCGATCATTAGTGTTTCGTATGTCCGAGACTTGGAAGTAAACAAACTTAATCTTAGTATTACATAGTTAGAAAGATCATTGAACCCCCTGTGATCCGTTGAATGTCCAACGTTTGTCTCTTATTAATAAATCTTATGATTTACTTGCTTTCTTATTAACTTATTAGTTTAGTCGTTACACCAAAACCAACCCCCGTTATATTGATTTGTCCTAGCCATACTCTTTTCTAATGGATTCGTTTAAATATCTTCTCTCTATGGGATTCAATCCTTAAATACTACATAAGATTTACTGTGCACTTGTAGTTAACGTGTGGTCTCTAAGGTAAAACTTTGAGGCAAAATTTATCGCACATCAGCAACAATAAAATTTTATAGTGTTCAATAAAGTTTCACACTTATGACTTCTCAATGCCCAAACAACAAGATTAACGTCGTATCAACTTTTCCATCTGCAAGACTCAAGTCGCCGATGGTTTAAAATCTTTAGGAAAATTGAGAGACAAAAAAAACTCTAAAATTCACAAGAAACATTTCTTGCAAACAATTGCGTGCATAAATCAAAAGACCGAATGCGACAATAATTCTCGAACTGAATGAGAGGGTTTTGACGCTCAAAAGTTGAAGGATACAATATCCTTGAATGAACAATTGATTGCAGAAGTACATCGACTAAAGGTACTGTATGTTCTCCACACCTTTAGTTGTTGGAATTCTAAAATCAACTGTTTGTTCAAAGATATTGCCTCCTTCACCCGTTAAGCATCTACACTCCCTCGTTCGTTCGAGGATGTTGATGCCTTTAACCTAAGGATGGGCAAAATATATATGTTTAATACTCTACATGTCTAACTATTTATAAGAAAATTTTCAACTCCTTTTTGCTTTTACAACCGATGTGGGATAATGCTAATTATGATCAATATATATGTATGGTTTCCTTTTATTAATTATTGGGCTTTTATTGGATATGGTCAAATTCCATATATATTATTTGGGTTGGCTGATTTTTCAGCCCTATACTAGTTGCAATCTCAGCTTTCCACCCCAAACTTTTTACCTCTGAAAAAACCACCAAAAAAAACTTTAATTTCAATAAAACTACACGTACTTTCGGATTTGTTCGTAAAACTACGCCTCCAATTGAACCGATCAATTAACCGATAATATTTAATCCGGTTTGACTTACCCAGAATTTTGACCAAAATTAATCGATTTTGACTCTATTTTAACCCAATTTTGACCCAAAAACAAATATAAAAGAAAAAAATGTTTTATCTATAAATAAATTTATTTATTTATTTATTTTTATAAACAATTAAAATAATAAATTATAACTTAATTTTATCAAAAAAAAGATTAAAAAAAATAAACCACAAAAGAATTATATAATAAAATTTTGGCATATACTTTTGGTAATATTACAAAAAACTAAAATAATAATTTTTTTTGGCAATCATAATATATGACCTTTGAATTTTGTATATTATGAAATTCAAAGTATATGCAAAACTCACATATATATATCCTTAAACACCACAAATCAAAGTATATATTATGATATTTATAAATTCATATTTCTTTATAGATTCAGTTTTTTTTTTTATAAATTCAAAGGTCGGTTATATATATATTTATATAATATATATATATATGGTGGTTTTAAAAAGAAAAATGTGTTTGAATTATATATATTATACCAAATTCATTATATATATATATATATAAATGATTAAATGAATTTGATTTGTGGTGATATTATGTACTTTGATTTGTGGTGATATTCAAAATATACATTTTATTTTTGGCAATCATTTTTCTTTTATAAATTCAAAAGTCATTTTTCTTTCTAAAAACACAATAATATATATATATATATATATATATATATATATATATATAACCAACCTTTTAATTTTTAAAAAGAAAAATGAATTTATACGAAAAATGATTGCCAAAAAGAAAATGTATATTTTGTTATATTACCAAAATTTTATAACAAAATATAGCACAAAAAATAATTTGTGGTCTATTTTGGTATATTTTTTGTTGTTGTATATTTTGTTATATAAACAAAAGTATAGACCAAAAATTTGTTATATATATTTTTTTGTGGTATACTTTCATATTATTTTGTGGTATACTTTCATATTACTTTGTGGTATATTATTTTTTTTGGTAAAATTAATTTATTATTTTTAATTGTTTATTATTTTGTGGTACATTTGTTTTCTTTTATATTTGTTTTTGGGTCAAAATTGGGTTAAAATAGAGTCAGATTAACTTTGGTCAAAATTCTGGGTATATCAAACCGGATTAGATATTACCGGTTAACTGATCGGTTCAATTGGAGGCGTAGTTTTAAGAACAAATCCGAAAGTACGTGTAGTTTTATTGAGATTAAAGTTTTTTATGGTGGTTTTTTCAGAGACAAAAAGTTTGGGTTGAAAAGTTGAGATTGCAATTAGTATAGGGCTGAAAAATCAGTCAACCCATATTATTTTGAAGAAACGTGAAAATTGTAACATATATAAACCAAACCGAACCAAACCCGAAAGATAACGAACCAAACCTGACCCGAAGACTTAAAATATCCCAACGGGTTTTGTATCCGTAAACCCGAAAAATCTGAAACTGAACGCCAACTTAGCCTTTCGATATCTACACACAATCATGAATGTTGAGAATCATCTAAACTTTAAAGAAACACAAAAATGCAAGTCCCATTGTTTTAACGTCGAACGTTTTTTTTTTAAAAACTTTCTTCTTTACAGAATGGAAAGTTCAACATAATATCACACAGGTATGAACAAAAGCCACTTATGATGATAACAACCATAGAAAAACAGAGTTTTCAAAATATATGCGCGCCTAAGCCAAATTCATCTTCTTTATCTGTTGTTGTTAAGAAAATGGTGAAGCCGGAATGTTTCACCTTGGTCTCCACTCAGTGACCGCCTTTCCAAACAGCACACGGTTAACTGTCTTAGCAGTTTCTCTAGATGGGATTGCAAGTGACAGCTTCTCTGCACATCTTTCTTATTTGGATTTGTTGATAGTATTGCTGCATTCACCGCATCAGCCACTAGTTCCCTCTGCGAGTCTTCTAGGAAATACCTGACCGATGATTCCTCAGGCTTTTCATACGCGAGTAAAGCAAAGCAGTCCTGAATAATCAACAAGAATATACAGTTCATAAGCGATCAGCTACATAGATAGTCTCTGTATCTGAACGTAATACATACAAATTCTCAGAAACCAGATCTTGCTTGAAAGAGAAAGGAGTAATGTTGAAGGAGACATCGGTACCTCGACTATATCTTGAAATCCAGTCAACCCAACAAATTTAGCTAACTCGAGTCTGCCATACTTCACACCTTCTTCAAGTTTTCCAACCTGCTTATGCCATGTTTTTCCAGAACCATATAGTTAGAGAATTAGCCCCATCTGCATAGATGTGAAAGTGAAAAAAGAACGAATAATCTAGAGAACCAACTTAAGGTAATATTTATACATGGTTTCCAGTGCGTTATAGGTTCTGCGCATTTTTTTTCATTAGTTATGGTTTAGCACCAAAGTCCATCACACAGTTCAAGCAACTAATTTGTATGGGAAGACCAAATCCATCAAGCTTCCTTAATTACAAAAAATTCATTCTAATAAGTGTTAAAAACATGAAATTTAGGGGATAAGGAATGAAGAGCATACCCGTACTAATTCAATAAACTTTTGACAGTGAAGGAGGAAGCAAACTACAGATTTATCGTCCTGCAGTAGGTACAGCTGGGTAAGACTTCATATCACAATCCTGTGAAGTGGATCATCTTAACAATACGATAAGAAATCTCAGTTCACCTGTACAATTTGGGGATACAAATTTCGGAGTTCCGCCAGAGCAGTATCAATCTCACCATTCCTAACAAGCTACACCCACCAATAAAGAATGGATCAGTGAAAAGTAACTAAACAAAGCAGTATTTGGTATGGTTTTGAATATGAACCAAAAAAAGCCAGATACAAGCGTAATAAAGTTAGAGGATAACATGTCTTATATGTTAAACTGTAGCCAGATAGATACAAGTTCAATACCTGTCTAAAATTCTTTCTCTGTTTCAAAGCATATGAGGAATCATCCTCATCAATAGCATTTTCTTGATCTATATGAATTGGAGGAACTGTAGTTTGAGTAGCAAGGTTGAAAGCATTGAGTGTCTCCTCATACCCATAGTGTAGAAGGTAGGTCTTTACAAGCCTAATGATAAAGAAACAAAACTTTAGATAAAGCGTCATCAATCCATTGTCATCTGTTACTGCTGGGAAGGAGTGTACTTACCCATAACCAATGTTTGGAGGTGTGGATATTTTTTCGATAGCCATTTGTTGCTTATTCCTCTCTGTTGCTTCATATCCCTAATAATACAGAAAGAGGGTAACATCTCTCGTCAAAACCTAATTTCAAACAAATATGTAATGGAGATAAAATTTAAAGATTATAAAATTAAAACTCGAGTATTTAAAACTTCAGTTTTTAAAGATTATAACTTGAGGACCCAAGTGTTTGAGGTTTAATTACACAGGAATAGTAGAGGATACACGTAAAATAGCATGTGAGTGTACAAAGATAACCATTGCCATAGATTCCGTAACCCCGGTACCAAGAACGGACATGAGGCATACCTATTATAATATTTCAATAGCTATAGACTCATGGTTACAGCATCCTTACTTTAGTATAAAGCCATAAGACCTAATTAACCATGTTTGAAAGGATTTTTTCTCTTACCTTAATATCGAAAGCAAATCTCTTCTTCCCAAAATTGACTGATACCCTGCCAAAAATTCAGGCAAAAATGCATTGTGTAAACCTGTTTATACAACTTTAATGTGAAGCTTTGGAACTCAAAATGAAAGCAGCCAACAGAGGAGATACATGATGGCATTGGTATTGATCATCAAAGAGAGAGTGAGAACATACTCCTCATTTTGGCTATGTACAGCTACAGTAGGGAATAGATGACCTCTTATGTCCTTAGGGATTTTCCCAACAATAGCTCCGTTTTTACTGGCATCAACAAAATAATCAAAAATGTCATCAGGTTTACAGACAAAGTGGATGCAAACACACGAAACAGTTTATTTCTTACGTGAAAAAGAACTCTTGCGAAACGTAGTTTATACCACCGCCAACTGTATCATCTTTTGTATACTTTGGACCAAAAGGTTCACCTTTCCCCTGTCCACGATATAGGAATCCATCATCCCCATGATAGCCACAGCTGTTCACTTCCCATCTATCATTACAAAAGAATCAATAAATCAGACAACCACATAACCTCAAATCCAACTATTAGGCACAGATAAAGCTTCTTTCAAAGGCACTATCATCCATATTCGTAAAATCAAGAATCAAGAAGCAATGTTCTTCGAATTCAGATTCTTCCCTAAACCACTCCTCCACAACGAAACTCACCAGAAAGAACACAACCTAATCCAAGAAGCTAAATCTCTATAACAACTAACCAATACACAGTACATCAGTAAAGGAAACACAATTTGGATCCAAAAACAATGGAAGAACAAACTATACCCAGGTTGTCTCCGCATTTTGAAGCTTTCCTTAGTAAAACCAATAGCAATTTGACCTTTAATCCCAGAATCTTTAACAAATATCTCAAAGTAGTAAGTAAGACACTTGATCGGAGCAGGTTTATTAGCTTGAACAACACCAACATCGTGACCATGTAGATTCGTATTAGTGTACTTCACGGAAAGCTTATCCGGAGAAACCACAAGAAACCCGCCGGCGCTATTGATCGTGTTGAGCTCCGTCGGTAAATCTTCTCCTTCGTCTTCCTTCGCATCTCGTGTCGCGGAGAGACGAATCTTGTCCAAGAAGTTTAAGTTCAGATCTTGACCGTTCACGACGTTGTTGGTTGTATCGCCGTTGGCGGAATTCGCCGGCGGCGGTGAAGAGTTCATTAGTTTCGGTTCCGATTAGGATCAGAGAGAAAACCCTAGATTTTTGAAGATGATTTGGGGCTCAGAGGTTTTGGAGTATATAAGAAGAACACTGAATTAGAGAATTTGTTGAGATTTCTTCTTCTCTTGATTATTTTTTTTGATCCGTTGTTTATTTTAGTGACCCGCTAGTTTCGGTATTTGTTAGACTTATTTTTTTCTTTTTCATATTTTTCTAAATAAATTTCATAAAGCTATTTTCATAACTCATAAGACAACACTTTTTTTTTTTTGTATGATCATTTTTACGAACGGAATATTTGCATTCAAACGATTAAAAAAAAAGTTGGTATACCTTAATTATTCATTGGATAATTACAAATTTTATTTTTGCACTCGAACTATTTGTCCCCAAGTCGCTAAATCAAAGAAGGAGAACAATGAAGTTTGTATGTGATTTTTTGTCTTTTGTGTTGATCAAATTTTTATTTTTTTTACTGTTTTTGGATCGACAACATTCGCTCCATAGTCAATTTTTATTATGCGAGATAACGCGATTTAGCGGAGTCGAACTCCGGTGGAAAAAATAGAAACACTTCCCCACTTCTTTATTCTTTCAGAATTCGCATTATCGAAAATTATCAAACATTATTTCAATTTTAAAAGTTTTGAAAATCCAAATGGTACAGAATCTACAAAGACAATGTTATACGGATGTGGTTTAACATTTGGTACTAAATTATCAGCTTTAGAGTTGAAAGTGCAAATTATGAAACATTTAAACTTATCATTTTTCTTAATATTTAACAAAGTTTCTCTTTAGATTTTCATAGTTCTCTTTTTTTTTGTATATCTACTAGTTTATACATAATAATATTTGAATTATATAATTACTAAAATAGAAAGATTATTAATTAAAAAAAATTGTCCCACATCATTACGTTGTCAATCTCATATATGATAGTGAGAGTAATATTTTGATTTTTCATCTGTTAGAAGCAGGTAGATAAATCACGTGTCTTTGTTAGAATTATCTTTCGTTTTTTTGGTAAATTGTTAGGATTACTCAAAATTGTATTTTTAGTGCTAAAACATTATAGAGGTTACTATTCAAATTCGATGAATGTAAAATGGAAGAATCATTGTAGTATTGACTATTGTGTACCACTAAACCAATGGTGGAGCTATTATGGGAAAGTGAAAGTGCAGAAATAACGGAGAAAAGAATAAACCAAATAAAGCAAAGGACAAGAATTGTAGTTTTCACGAAAAACACGCAGTGGAAATCATCAACATGGGTTGTTTCAATATGGTATCTTCCTCTATTTAGTGATCGAGAGATTGTTTATTGCTTTTTTTTTTTTGTTTTTGCATTCTAAGAAGGATCAGGGTGATTGAAACCAACCACACGGGAGGAGATTCCATCGCGAGAGATGCCATTTTCCTCCTCGTGGAAGGTCTAATAATCACACGTCTCCTAAATCTCGTCTTTTCAAGTAAGTTGGAGAATTCTATGTTAAAGAAACTATGACCTTGAATGGTTGTGGTTTTTAAACTAGTTTTTGGTTTTAGTTTTTTCCCAAAATATATTTTGTAGCAATTTAAGATTTTGAAAAAAACAAGTTTTTCCAAAAAAAATAGGGAATCTAGCTTTTGAGTGTTTTAACAATTTTTCAAAGAAAACCAAAATCCATGTTTTTGGAGTTTCTTCCTCAAAAACCATCGATCACATTTTTCATTTCGTTTTTTAATTTTTTTTGTAAAAAACAAATTATCCTCTAACATAAAAACCAAAATCTAAACAATTTAAACTAAACTATTCAAGTTTTGAAAAAACTAAAATCTACACCAAAAACAAAAACCAAGAAAATCAAAAACTAAAAACCAAAAACAAAAATCCAAAATCCAAAAACCATTTTAAAAACTACAATTTTATGATAATGGGACTTTGGATTTTTCTCGAACTCAGTTTTTGAGTTCTTGTTTGGTTTTTGAAAAATCGAAAAGAACTTAAAACAAACGTCATATTTCCATCCTATTTGAGCATCCACTACAAATTTTTGAGATCAAATGTTTTCTTGTAGTGTTTGATCTATTGTTCATTTTTTATTTTATTTTATTTTTGCTAAAATTTGTTCATTATTGTTTGTAATCATTACTACAATATCTACAAATTACTGTAATTTCTACATTTTATCATAGTTATAACTTATAAGTAACAAAATCCTACTTTTAAATTTTCAAAATCACCTAATATTTGAAAATCATTAGTAAAAGAAATATGTTTGAATTTTTGGAGCAAGATCAACAACATTGGTTTTGTCCTTTTTTTAATTGATGAATGTTTATTAAAGCACTCTTTGATTGGTTTTCTTAAACATGTTTTGCTCAGACCTTCTAGGTTTTGAAGAATGGAAGATTTAAACAGGTTGTCAAACCCGGGAAATTTCGGATTCATTGGAAGACAATCACGAATTCCCCAAAAAAACATGGAAAATAATATTTCTCCTCCTAATAATATGCACCACCATAGTGCTTCTTTAGATGATCTTCTCACAGAAGACCAACCAGCTTGGCTAGATGAGCTCCTAAGTGAGCCAGCTTCACCTAAGATTAACAAAGGTCATAGACGTTCAGCTAGTGACACAGCTGCTTACTTGAACTCAGCTTTAATGCCTTCAATGGAAGATCAGCTTATGAAAAATCATGTTTCTGGTTCTTTTTGGCAATTCCAGAACTATGATTTGTGGCAGTCCAACTCTTATGAACAACACAATAAATTAGGATGGGATTTGTCTACCGCAAATGGAACTAATCTCCAAAGAAATATGTCATGTGGAGCTGTAAATAGATTAGGTACCTCAACATCGAAATCCATTGAGAAACATGTAAGCAAAATGAAAGAAGGAACTTCCACAAAACCAGATGGTCCTGGATCAAAGACTGACTCGAAACGTATCAAACAGTAAGTGGTCTTATCTTTATCATCTACTAGTTAATTATTTGTTATCTTGAGTACTATAGCGTAACCAAAAATTTATTTGCTAAACATATTTCTAATGCGGTTTAGTAATCTACAATTTTATTTAACTTGAAAATCATCAAAATGCAGTCAAAATGCTCATCGGGCACGTCTAAGAAGGCTTGAGTACATATCAGACCTTGAAAGGACCATCCAAGTGCTACAAGTAATATTTCAAGACTCATGTATTTCTTGAAGTTCTTTAATTCCATTAATAGTATCAAGAGATCACTAATATATATTAAACATTAGTTATGTTATATATGTTGGATTTTTCTTCAACAGGTTGAAGGATGTGAAATGTCATCTGCCATTCACTACTTGGATCAGCAGTTACTCATGCTTAGCATGGAAAATAGAGCTTTAAAACAACGTATGGATAGTTTAGCAGAAATCCAAAAGCTTAAACATGGTATTTAACCTTTAATCACTAGTAAAATGGATCAAAATGCATTTATTTTTCCTCTTGTGAAATTTTGATTTTGGGTGCTTAATACAGTGGAGCAGCAATTGCTTGAGAGAGAGATAGGAAATCTACAGTTTCGAAGACACCACCAACAACAACCACAACAGAACCAAAAACAAGTGCAAGCAATACAACAAAATCGATACAACAAATATCAACCACCTGTTACACAAGAACCAGACTCCCAATTTGCAGCCTTGGCAATATGATTTAGGAAATATGGATCCATTACAATTCAGATTATGCTGAGCTCTTCTTGCTCTATCTTAATGTCCATACAACATAGGTGAACTATTGATGTTTGTATTCTTGAATGAATACCTAAAGAAACACCATTATGTACATCACAATGTGGTTGCCCATATCCCCCTCTATTGCATTTCTCTATTTATGGGATGGTAGAGAATCTATTGTCAAGAAACAACTTCTTTCATGTTATGTCATAATTTGTAATTCTTCTTATTTCATCTATTATATATATGAATAAATAATTTTTTGACAATTTTTTTTTATCTATATATAAGTTCTGACCTATTCTAGTAGATTAAAAGAAAAAAAAAAAGAAATATAGTTACACTTACTATTTTATAATCCAGTCAATAAAAAAAAAAGAGTAATGTTAAAAAACAGAATTAAAAAATATAGTAATTTATTAGGTTTTGTAACAAAAAAAAATATTTCAAGCCGCCATTTTATTTCAATTGTACCCTTCATCTAAAAAGTGCATATTAATCCTACAAAGTAAAAAAATAATATGAAATATAACTCTCATACAGATTTTAAAAGATTTTATGGTCATATACATTATATTTTCAAAATAAAATAAAATGGTCTTCGACCATCGTCGCGAGAACTTCAATTGATATATTATATACATAAACTTTACAAATTTGACAACGATTAAGAAGGGTTATATTGAATATTTTATATATTATTTGATAATAAACATTTTGGAAATCTAACATTTATAATTAGTTGACTGAATAACAAAAGATTGTACATAATTTTTAATGATTTTACATAAATTCTATTTTCAATAACATAGGATTTGGAAAGATAATCTTTTTTTGAATAGAAGATTGTAAAGAAAAACCAAATCATATAAATTTTTTAATTCAATACATGCCCTTTAATTTGTCAATAATTCATGAACCGTTCCCTTTAGTTTGTCAATAATTCATGAACTGTTTCATGAATACTCTTAAAGTTTGAATAGATTCATGAGAAAAAGATCCAAAATAACAATATAATTCTTCGTTTTCAAGAAATGTAGAATAATGCTTCAAAAATCAGTGAATAGATGAGTGAAATTATCAACAAAATTTCTTTTAATTTCGAGAACTAAATAGACTGAGAGCTGGGGATGTGCCTTTAGTAAAGTGGTTAAGTTCATTTGACTATTGTTCGGACCTTGTCGATTCAAAGATATCTCAAAAAAAAAAAAAAAAAGACCGCAAGCTCATAGCTTGTAATTCTTCAAAAAAACTGTTTTGAGACTCAAGCAATTAGCTTTCTTTTGTAATTTTTACATCGGTTTTCTTTGTTTTTACTCTCTTAAATCAAGCTGACCATTTACATTATCTAGCATGAAATACCCAAACACTTTTACCCCATTAAATTACCACAGTAAAATAATCCACAACAACTACAATAAAACCGTCACTGTTTTTAATGATTTTGGCGCGAGGATTAGTGTGGTTAGTGGCCCAGCTTCACTAGCAAAATTAATTTGTCAATAAATAAAAACGACCACTCAAAAAAGTCCAAATCTCACGCGCCACTCTCTCTCGGCATTACTGCTTTCTTCACGTGATTACGTTAATTTTACTCGAAAAGCTCAAAAAACTTTCTCTCTTTCTCTCATTTTCCGGGAAAATTCTCCACCATTTTTTTTCCTTCTTCTCTAAATTAAATTTTGTGACAAAAAAAAAAAAAAATTCGTTCATACTCTACAACAAAGCTTACCACACGATGCTACTACTACTACCTTCTCTTTCCAAATCAATCTCCGTGTTTTTCTAGGGTTTACCTCAATCGATTTCAGATCATGCACGGCCTTAGCCGTCTAGGTAACGGCAATAGCAACGGTCGAATCAATCTTTCATCACCATCACCGCCTTCTTCGCCTCGGATTCGTCACAGTAGAGGAAAATCACTCGCCGGAGGAGGTGTTTATAAGCAGGGATTAGGAGAGAGACTTGTGTTTTTACTCTTTTCGATAGTGTTTAGGAGGAAAGGTGTCTTGTTGTTAGCGCCGCTTCTCTATATCGCTGGAATGTTACTGTTTATGGGATCTTTTGGATTCACTGTGTTGGATCTAGGTCATGGTGTTGAGATTGTGTATAGTCGTGGTCCTCCTGGTTCGGTGTATCGGAGTCCTAAGGTTTTTAAACGGCTTTGGCCTTTGATGGAGGCTGATGTTAATGGAACTAGTCATAATGTGGTAATTGTTAATGTGTGAATTGATGGATTGTTTTGTGATGATTTGAGGGATTAATGGGTTGTTGTTGATTATGTAGTTGATGGAAGTATGGAAGCCAAGAGTTAAAAGTATATGGAAACCGTGTATTAGTACTAATGTTTCTGCTGCGGGATCGAATTCGAATGGTTATTTTATTATTGAAGCGAATGGCGGATTGAATCAACAACGCTTGTCAGTATGTTTTACTCTCTGTGGCTTTAGATTGGCTTTTGTTTTTAGTGAAGTTGTGTTGTTTTGTTGATTGGAGAGGTATGTCTCGCGTCTTGATGTAGATATGTGATGCAGTGGCTGTGGCTGGACTGCTGAATGCTACTCTTGTCATTCCGATTTTTCACTTGAACAGTGTATGGCGTGATTCCAGGTTACTATTTGGTTTCTAATTATACTGCCTTTGAAACTTTCATCACTCATTCTCATGGAATTAGTTTAATAACAGAAATATCCGCAATCTTCAGATCAAGTTGCATGATTTACTTACATATTTCCTTTTGCTTTTTTCTTCTGTTTTTTGTCTTACAGCAAATTTGGCGATATATTTGATGAAGACTTCTTCATATATGCTCTTAGTAAGAATGTGAATGTAGTGAAAGAGCTCCCAAAAGATATACTTGAGCGGTACAACTACAATATAAGCAGTATTGTTAATTTGAGATTAAAAGCTTGGTCGAGCCCAGCATACTATCTCCAGAAGGTGCTCCCACAACTTTTGCGTTTGGGGTATGCAAATTCACTGACATTTTTCTTTTATCTAGATGTCTCAGTCTTAAAAGAAATGGTTGGTTCTCAGTGTGTTTGTTCTTTTCTGTTGTCCCTGCATTTCTTCTTAGAATTTGTGAATACTTAATAAGGTCTTACTGAATTGAATACACGATAAGCTTACATGCAAAAAGGAAATGATTGATAGCGTAAGGTAGTACATAGAGTACTAGCATTCGCTTTTGATAAGCTTGTTTCTAAGGGTAAGTATATGACTACTACGTAAAGGCTGAATGTGTGTGTGAGGGTTTGTAGAAATATACTAGAGGCTGTACTTATCAATCTCCATAATGTGATGTTTTTGGTAACTGAGAGCTCTATCCCTTGATTTCTTACTTTATCTTTGCTTCTTTCATTAGGGCTGTCCGTGTTGCACCATTCTCCAACAGGTTAGCTCATGCAGTTCCCGCACACATTCAAGGACTCAGATGCTTAGCAAACTTTGAAGCATTGAGATTTGCAGATCCCATACGGCTACTTGCAGAGAAAATGGTCAATAGGATGGTTACGAAGAGTGTTCAGAGCGGAGGAAAATATGTGTCTGTTCATCTCCGCTTTGAAATGGTATAGAATTCCTGCCAACCCATTTCTTCAATTCCTACTTCCTATGTCCTACTTCCCTCTTTTCATAATCTCAATTTTCTTCTCTTCCATAGGACATGGTTGCCTTCTCGTGTTGCGAATATGACTTTGGGAAGGCGGAGAAGCTAGAAATGGACATGGCCCGGGAAAGAGGGTGGAAAGGAAAGTTCAGGAGGAGAGGCAGAGTAATTAGGCCTGGTGCAAACCGCATAGATGGAAAATGCCCTTTAACCCCACTAGAGGTATCACTGAAAAACTGCCCCGCCTCCTTTGAAATCTTAAATCCAGTTCATCTAGTGACTTTACATCACAACTAACTCTAGGGATAAAAGAGTTTATTGGAACTGATACGTTTTTGGTAACTCTGTAGGTTGGAATGATGCTTAGGGGCATGGGTTTTAACAATAGCACCTTGGTTTACGTTGCTGCGGGAAACATTTACAAAGCTGACAAATATATGGCTCCTCTTAGGCAGATGTTTCCTCTTCTCCAAACCAAGGACACTCTAGCTACTCCAGAGGAGCTTGCTCCGTTCAAGGTAGGTAACCAAACTCCAATGTCTATACTCATTGTGACTTAAGATGCTTAAATTGTTTTTGTGAGAAATAGAATGGAGTTTGGCTGTTTCATTTTGATTGATAGGCTAGAGTATGGTAGTTTCATGAATTGTTTCATTCTCCTCGCTCTATCAACTGTTTTGTGAGAAATGGGATAGATTTTGGTTGGTTCATTTTAATTGATAGGAATTATCTCACATTTCAAACGAGGGAATTTAGACAAATAATGATGGGGAAACATTGATGTCCAGAGTTTGGTGAGAATGTTAAATGGTTTTATGTTAGCTTATAGAGTGCTGTCTTTTTAGAAGCCGTGTTTATAGGAAAGAGAAATTTTTGTCCACTGGTTGGTAGGAATCAGAATGATTCTATTATTAGGTTAGGAGCGTTAGGTTCTTAAAGCAATTGCTCATAAAACCTGTGGGCTCTTCCATAACATGCCCTTGGAATAGAAAGATTTTGACCATTATCTAATATTCTAGTTCAAAAAAAAAGGTAACTTTATGATATAAACAAATTGCTGTATTTGTGAAACTTTAGGGACACTCATCAAGATTGGCTGCACTGGATTACACAGTATGCCTCCACAGTGAAGTGTTTGTATCCACTCAAGGTGGAAACTTCCCTCATTTCTTGATAGGTCATCGTCGTTACCTTTACAAAGGCCACGCGGAGACAATCAAACCCGATAAGCGGAAACTAGTCCAGCTCTTAGATAAACCAAGCATTAGGTACTTGATTCATTAATAACTCTTGACCTCAAACACATAGATTCATCTGCCTTTAAAGTATTTTCTTCGGTTTGGGTGGTTTCTTTTTTGTAGATGGGACTACTTCAAGAAACAAATGCAAGATATGCTTAGACACAATGATGCAAAGGGAGTCGAATTAAGGAAACCCGCTGCATCACTCTATACGTTCCCCATGCCCGATTGCATGTGTAAAGAACCTGATCCTGAACCTCAAACTGATCCAGCTTAAACCGGATTCCTGCTGTTCAGTGTTATAATTGTTTATGACTCCAACCATACATGTAACTTATCTATATATGTTGTATCATGATCCATGTATAAGCATTTTTTGCCCCTCAAAAGTTTGGGGAATCTAAGATTAGTATGTTGTTTCTTGATATGAATTTTTGTGTACATAACATTCTTTCAACACTAGTGACCATTCTCCCTTCTGTTCTATTGTATGCACATTTTGATCTCTATTGATAATCAAACTAATGGCTTCTGGAATTGTTTCATTCTAATCTAACACTGCGTATAAGATGCAAATAATTTATGTTTTACATATTGTTATTGGAAAATTCTAGTCAGAATTATGAAAGAAATTATCATAGGGTATGAGAAGAAACTTTAGGATTTAGTCTTATTTTGGTGTAAGGTAAAATGACCAGAACAATATAAAATGCAATAAGATAATTATAATCTGTAGAGTTGTGATACATACCCCAAATTTGCTTTAGCAAGAATTTGTTCTGAGTAATTCTATTTAGCAAATTTTTGTCTCTTTGTTTTTGTTTTGCTTCTTACAATTTTTTAACCCTTAACTTTGTTTTCTAGTAGCTGTGTTAGTAATAAAGTAAAAGTATGCCAAGGTTTAGGAGAGTGTAATTAAATTAAACAAAGAAAGAACATAAGAAAAATCATTTTTTTTTCTTGTCAAAAGAAAATAAATCTTCTAGAAAAGGAAAGGAAGATAGTGCCAAAAAGGCAGGTAAGATGCAATTTGGATCTTGTTGAGTTGTTTCAGTGTTTATCTACCACTCATTTCCCTTCTAGAAGGTTAAAAACACAAAAGAATCAAGATATACATAAAACATTCATAAAACCAAAAATAATTCATCCATATCACAAGTAACAAAAACAAAATCCATCTAAATAATATCCCCACCAAACCCCTCTCTTAGTACAAAATAAAAAGACAAAAAAAATCTAAGGCAAGAAAGAAAAAGAAGGTAACCTACCAAATCTCTTTCACCCACAAAACACAAAGATACATAATTACATTACACCAACTTGGTCAAAGTCACTTCCTTTTTATAACACCTCTCTTTAGATCCTACTCTCACTCTGTCTCATCACCCACATGTAACCATCATCATCATCATCATGGGAAGATCACCATGTTGTGAAAAAGCTCACACAAACAAAGGAGCATGGACTAAAGAAGAAGATCAACTTCTGATTGATTACATACGTACTAATGGTGAAGGCTCTTGGCGTTCTCTTCCTAAATCCGCCGGTAATTCTTTTCCAAAAAAGATTTCTTTATGTTTCCAAAAAAGATTTCTTGAGCTGTTATCTTGGATCAGAAGGACAAGTCCTACTGCTCCTTCTACATTGAGGAAGCTGATTACTCAAGCCGTTGTTTACGCAACCTGGAAGCAGAGGAATAACATGTTGCACAATTCGAATCACATTGCACCTGCTGCGGCCTTCATGATCATCGATAGGGAAGTCATCAACTCTATAAATGCTCGGAGGCACCGATGAAAGTTCCGTAATCTTATGAGCCTATGGCTCATATAATGCTCCTACTTTGAAGATCTGTTTCTTCTTTGTTTACTTCCTTGTTTTTTATCCTAATTTTTGCCAAGAAACTAAACTTTAGGTATTGCACATGTAATTCCAAACCTTTTCATTTTATATGATATTTACCCACTTAGCAAAAAAAAAAAAGGTTTCTTGGTCTAATGATTTTTAAAAATGTATTTTTCTTTTACTTTTTGTAGGGTTGTTGCGGTGTGGAAAAAGTTGTAGATTAAGGTGGATTAATTATCTTCGCCCTGATCTTAAACGTGGAAATTTCACTGATGGTGAAGATCAAATCATTGTTAAACTTCATAGTATATTCGGCAACAAGTAATTTCCTTTCTCTTTGCCGGGATTGAGTTTTTTATTTAAGAGAAAATTAAGTCTTTTTTTTTTCTTTTTTTTTTTTTTAAATTATGAACAATAAAAGGTAAAAACAATGGTGAAAGACTGAAAAAATGAAGAACCGGGTTTTAGTGGGTCATTGGTCCGAACCGTTCACCGGTTTTATCCGACTTTTTAGCGGTTTTTGCGAGTCTTTCCAATACCGGTTTTTGGTGATAACCAACATCGGATAGTTATTCAAGTCACGGTCGAACAGGTTCAAGTGGCCGGTCTGGTCCGGTTTTGAAAACACTGGAGAAAAGTAAATAAATGGTTTTCTCTTCAATTTGGTTTATATGCAAGCAGATCCGATTTGACAAAACCACATAAATAACCGGTTTAACATAACCGGATGACCAGGTTTAAAAACCAGTGTTGCTCACTTTTGGAATTTGTCTTCTTTTTTTCAGATGGTCTTTGATAGCTGGGAAATTACCGGGAAGAACAGATAATGAGATTAAAAACTATTGGAACACTCATGTAAAGAGAAAGCTTCTTAGCCATGGGATTGACCCAAAAACTCACCGTTCGATCAACGTATCCAAAACGACACCGTTTCATACTCGAAACGAAGATGTGAAGTCCACGTTTCCTGATCATAACGGTGTCATTAAATTAAAAACGGAGACTTCATGTGAAAACGGTGCTTCTACGAGCGGTACAACTATAGACGAGGATCTACGGTTAAATGTTGAGTGTGATTACAGTTATGATCACGTGGACAAGGAGCTAAACTTGGACCTAACTCTCGGGTAGGGCCGCCTCGCGTTGTTGGATCGGATCTTGTAACTAGCTCGTGGGTTGTGCATGACGTCTGTGTTTGTAAATTGGGATCACATTAACCTTGTGTGAATTGCCAAACGGCTAAACGGGTTATTTAATGATTATTAACTTCAAAACAAGGTGTTTCTTTTTTTGAAGTTGTGTGCACCAAACACACTAGTTTAGCTCCTTGTCCAAGTGATAGAAACGGTTTACACACTAAGTGGCGATCTTAAAAAATAGCATGCCGGAGATATATGATGACAATGGAGTCTTTAGCGTTTTTAGAGTCCTACTTATCTATTGTATCTAGGCCCGGTCCGCCACACATACCCAATATACAAATGTATTTGGCCTCCAAATTTTTAAAGATTTTTAGTACTAAAATTAGGCACTAAAAATAATTTTTATTACAAAAGTAGGCTTCATTTTTCCAAACTTTTAAGATTTAATCTCAAATTTTGAATTTTATCTATTTGTTATTGCAAAAATAGACCTCATTTTTATGAAAATTTAAGATTTGGTCTCATTTTTAAAGTTTATCTTTTGTAATGGACTTGACAACAATTATATGATTATTGGTATTTTTAAAATAACAAAAACTAACAATCTTGAAAGTTTGGTAACTAGTCTAGAAATGTTAAAATAAAGTTTTTCCAGGTCGGGAGCTACCCTCAAACCTAAGGTTAAATAGAGAGCAAAAAAAGCTTAAACAAAACAAATAGAAACCTAATCAGAATTTGTTTACCAACCAATTGATTTTGACATTGAAAATCCATAAACCGAAACCAAAACCAACTCCAAAAATCAAGAAGCAAGAGTCAATATGGCATCATCCAAAAAAACAAAAAACACGATCAGACAATCAACCAAAATCCAAGAATAATGAAGTCAGACATGACTTGTGAGACAAAACCAAAAAAAATTGAAAACTTGAACTCTTAAAATCATTTCTTCTTCTTCTTGCCTTGCTCGCCTTGCTCAAGCTTCTTCTCAGCCTTTGTAATATCCTTCTTGAAATTAAAGATCAAGTTCTCTATCTCCCACCTGCCGTTCTTCACCAAATCCACATGTTTCTTATTAGGAATGTGGCCTAATTTTTAAAGTTTTTGTTATTTTAAAAATACCAATAATCATATAATTGTTGTCATAGAAACGGTTTACACACTAAGTGGCGATCTTAAAAAATAGCATGCCGGATATATATATGATGACAATGGATTCTTTAGCGTTTTAATTAGAGTCCTACTTATCTATTGTATCCATGTATTTTCATTGAGTTTTAAAGTAGGTAATTTGTATTGTTTTCAAAAAACAAATTCAGTTTATAAAAACTTTAGGTGAAAATTACTCCAGATGTCTTATGCTGATTATTGTAAGGTATAAAACTACTAGTACTAGATATGTACAGGGACGTGGCTTATGAAAAAAATAGAAAAAAGACATCGGTGATAGTGGTGTTATTCTTTTATGCGGAAGCATTAAACCGGAATATATGCTTTGATCAGTTTAGTAATCACTATGGTTAGGCCTGGGCATGTGGGTATTCGGGTCGGGTTCGGGTCGGGTCTTTCGGATTCGGGTTAGAAATTTTGGACCCGTTGGGTTATATGTACAATTTCGGGTCGGGTTCGGTTCGAGTTCACTTCGGGTCCGAGTAATTCGGGTATTGGTTAAAGAACCCATAAATAACCAAAACTATTTCGGGTTTGAGTACTACTTACCCAAACTTTGTCCAAATATACCCAAACATACATAAAAGTATCCATAAAACCCGAAAAATCTGAAATTATAACAAGTTGTTCCTTAAGACAATAATATAAAACAAGAAGTAAACCTTGTTTTGAGTTTTTTTCATAACTTAAATCATTAAACAAGTCACAAATTCAAGTTATTAGTGCATATATGTCCTCATATGTGTATATATGTTCGGGTAATAAAAAGTACTCATGGGTATCGGGTTCGGTTCGGGTAATACCCGATACCCACAGTTATTTGAAAACAGAACCCGATCGGATAATTAGCCGGAACCGAAGTAAAATGGGTTCGGGTATTTCGGGTCGGGTTCGGTTCGGTTCTTCGGGTTCGGGTATTATGCCCAGGCCTAACTATGGTACAAAATTGATTGGGAATCTACGTGGAGATCAGGGTTGAGACACATACGGAAATCAATCACATGCCACCCTTCAAGTGCCCTTCTTTTGATCTCTCGAAGCTTTTTATATCAAAAATGTTTATCTCTTTCTCTAGAATTCTCACTTTGTGTCAATGATCACAGAGTTATTTATCGTGTCTTTATGCAATCTTCATTTTATAGATAAAGATAAGTGACTTCATGAAGAAACACAAATGACTTTCGTATTCTTTGATAATTAACTTCCCAAATAATCGGTTAACTAAATCGGTTCGATATGCTACATAATCATGGATGCAAACCGACCATAGACCAACACTTAGTTTTATTTTTACCCTTTTCTTTAGTTAAAATCTCAATCTAACACTAGTGATTTATTCAACGAGAAAATGGTGGAGGAAAGAGAGAGAGGAAGAAGATGAAAAAGAGAGCACATGAATTTTTTTTCTTGAAACTAAAACACAAGCAAATCTGATTAGAGTTTCAAAAGATTAGACTAGAATATTAGTAACAAACCAGTTTGGTTGGGAGAAAATTGATAGTATTAAAAATAACAAGGGACACAAATAACAATGTAAAAAGTGTTTCAAAAAGTGGCAACTAAAAAATGTTTGTAAAAGTGTGTTAAAATACAAAATTTCATATTTTATATTAATTTTTATATATTATCACGAAATTCATTTATTCCAATCATTAGGGAGTTAATAAAAACATTTTATGAATAACTAATCTAATAACTTTGGATTTTGAACAATTTTACGAAATACAAAATCCAACAAGATAAATTACCAAAACTTTTTAGAAAATCACGCCAATTTAGTAAGAAAAACTTTGAAAGAAAATTAAAATCATTGATTTAATATGTCCAATAAATAAATATAGTTGCATTTAGATTTTTTTTTTTTTGGTTAGCAGTGAACCATATAGTCATGACAAAATGAAGAAAGGCAAAGAAGGCGCTTGTGTGACTCGGGTATCTGTCAGGTTTGCAAGAGCGGCGAAGAAACAATATTACATGTTCTAAGAGATTGCCTAGCAATGTCAGGTATTTGGGACCGAATTGTTCCACCAAGTAAGAGGCGAATGTTTTTTGATCAGTTGTTACTTGAATGGATTCTGGGAATCTTGGTGATGTTACCATGAGATAAGATACATCTTGGACTACACTCTTTGGTATGGCAGCATGGTGGGGGTGGAAGTGGAGGTGTGGCAACATATTTGGTGTAAATGGGAAGTATCGTGATAGAGTCTGCTTTGTGAAGAATCAAGCAAAGGAGGTCTATGAGGCGTGGTATTTGGGCAGGATCAGGGCAGGTTACAAGAGTCAATAGAATGATTGCTTGGACTCCTCCTTCGGTAGGTTGGGTAAAGTTAAACATGGATGGTGCATTACACGGAAATCCAGGTTTAGCAACGGGAGGTGGAGTTCTGAGGGATGGAGAGGGACAATGGATTCAGGGATTTACCTTGAATATTGGAGTCTGTTCGGCACCGTTGGCAGAGTTATGGGGGGGGGGTTTACTATGGGCTCTATCTAGCTTGGGACAAACGGATTGCGAAGTTGGAGTTAGATGTGGATTCGGAGATGGTGGTGGGGTTTCTCAAGACGGGGATAAGTGATACTCATCCCTTGTCTTGCCTAATACGATTGTTCTATGGCTTTCTTTCAAACAGTCTGAATATCACATGTGCATAGGAAAACTAATCATCTTGCCGATGGATTAGCGAACTATGCATTTTCTCGACTTTTGGGTTTGTACCTCTTGGATTCATGCCCGAAAAATATTTATCCGTTATTGTTACAGGATGCTCGTGGGTTTTCGTAGCCCCGAAGTGTTCGTTTGTAACTTTATTATTCACTTTTTAATAAATTAAAGGAGGCATTGTCTATCTCTTTCACACCAAAAAAAAATATAGTTGCATTTGGAGATTTTAAATTTGGAGAATTTTCGGGAAAAAACCCGAAAAAACCGCCATGTAATTTTTTTTTGGCCGTTTAATACATGTAGTATTAAATTTGGAATAAAAATACCTCATATAGTTTTGGTTGCCTTTTAAAACCTTCGTTTTTTAAAAAATGGTAAAATCGAACTTCCGAGTTAACGACCGTTAACTTTGTTAATGGCAACACTAACCGCGGTTAAAACTTAACCCACGATGTTTAAGTATATATATAACCTCTTTTTGCAGATTTATGTATATATCGTCTTAGTCAGGTGGTTTAACTTGGGTTGCCTATCCTATTGAACTTGAGTTCGAATCCTAAAGACGTTTTAATTTTTTTTTTTTTTTACTTCATCTTCTTCGTCATCGAAAAACATATGTCTTCAGTTTCTTCTGATCCATTTGATCGACAGAATGGGTGGGAAGATGGAGTGAAGTTAGTTTTTCGATGGCTTCTAGAACCAGAAACGGTTTGCCGGCTCTCGATTTTATACCCGCATCTGATCGAAGTTTCATTTTAGTGCCCGCTTTCTCTTAGCCCCATTTTTCTATTTTGTTTCTAGATGACAATATTTGTCGATCTCAAATTACATAGATTAGTCGAGATCTGATTCACATGTGTTACACTAAGATTAATTTGTGAGCTTCAAATGCGGATCTGAGATGTTGTAGACACTTCTGGGTAGATCTAGTTTCCGGAGAGATCGAGAATTGCTTTTGTTTCATTTCCAGATTTTGTTGAATAGTAGGAGAATAAAACAAAAGAGAAGTTTATGATGGATTTGCTCTGAGTTTCTGGGTTTAGGATTTGGTCTTGAAGGCATTGTTCAGTAAGAAGAAGAGGAAGACAAAAGAGAAGAAGGAGGAAAAAAAATTAAGAAAAAAATTAAAAAACGTCTAAAAAGGACGATCGGGGATTCGAACCCACGTTATTTCGAATAGGTAACACACGTTTTACCATTTGACGAAGACAGTATATACTTAAGGCTTGAAAAGAGATAGTATATATATAGTTTAAATACCATGGGTTAAGTTTTAACCACAGTTAGTGTTTCCGTTAGCAAACTTAACGACCGTTAACTCGGAAGTTCGATTTTACCATTTTTTTAAAAACTAAGGTTTTAAAAGGCAACCGAAACTAAATGAGGTATTTTTATTCCAAATTTAATACTATAGGTATTAAACGGCCAAAAAAAATTAGATGGCGGTTTTTTCGGGTTGTTTCCCGAGAATTTTCTCTATATTTTTTTTTTTTTCCAAAATTTGCCCGC